GAGACTGCTAGGCGCATTGCACGGCACAGTTCCTGAAGCGTCCATTTGCCTCGACGCCCAGCGCAGCAGCCCCAATGGCCCGCCGCCCCATGCGCCTCTGCCTCTGCCTCTGATACTCTGCCACCTCGGATCCCTGATTGCATGACCCCTACTAGCCCGGACCTCCTGGCCCCAGGCGCTTTCAACACCACGACTTGACGACTCTTCGCCGCAGACACGCACGGCTTTGAGAGTCTGCACCCCCGAGCGTCGCTTTCCGGCTGACCTGGCACCATGTCGCTGAACGGACTGGACAATGTCGAGGTTACACAGGCGTACCAGGGTGCCCTCGCCGAAGCTGGCGGTTGGTACGACATCCCAATTTCTTCTGCGCACGCGGACCACGTGTTAACGTTTGGCATCTAGGTTCCTGCTCAGGTACACGTCAAGGGATGCCGTCGAAGTCCTGACCCGCGGCACTGGCGGTGCTGGCGAGGCGCGCGCTGCCGTCGCCCTGTACGAGGAAAAGTCACCGCTGTACGGCCTGCTGCTGTACCGCCGGCGCAAGGTCCTGGTCAAATATGTGCCCGAGGGGACATCGCGACTGCTTCAGGGTATGTGGAGGCTTGTTCCTATCATGACCACGACTAACGCTCGACAGCCCGCGTCAGTGTCCACTTCATCAACATCACCGAGAAGTTTGCGCCCCACGACATCGTCCTGTCCATATCCACCCCGGAAGAGCTCAGCGATGCCGCTCTTACCGCCGCATGCAGTCTGCACACCGCCGCGCCCTCGAGCTCCTCCTCCAGCGGATCGTCGCGACAACAGAAGCTCAGCTGGATCCAAGAGGCTGCCGAGGAAGGCGCCCAGCCCGATGCAGACGGCAGTGCACGACCGGAAACTGCCAAGTCCAACATACCCACCATACTGGAGCCATCTAGAGACAGCGAAGACAATCTCACGAGGAGCGGGTCGATCAACTCACAAGCCGAGACGGTTCCGTTGATGCTGGACGAGAAGGTCATCGAGCACAAATTGTCACCACAGATCTCCCATGTCACCATGGAGACGGTAACGGAAGGGCCGACGACGCCAGACGACACCGATCTATCCGATCTCCAGGACACGCTCAAAAGCTACGACTCGCTCTTCGAAGGTGGACCAGAGCCCCGGAACTCTTCGCAGACTGCACGGCCAAACTACAACGAGCTGTACGAGCACTACTACGCGCAGTACACCAAGCCAAAGGTTAAGCTAGGACCGCGACCGCGGCCATCGCTCGAAGGCAGGAGACCGTCCACCTCGGGCAGTGCTCCGTCAGATCTGGCGAGACCGAAGTCATCGCTCCCGGCAGGTCTGCGCTCTGCGGCACGAAAGACAGCTGAGAAGAAAGAGTCTAAGACCAACGCCTCGAGCACCCTTCCCGCGATCGCTATTCCTCCTCCACACCAGGTTCCTCCAATGCCTGAAATGCCACAATCCCCCGCCTCGTCAGTATACTCCACGAGAGCCCCCGCCAGTACCAAATCGATGCCCGTGTCCGCATACAGGAGTCACCTCAGGGCTGGAGGATCGACACAGGAGCGGACAAGACTCATGAAGGCTCTCGAGATGCGCAAGAAACAACAACAGGCCCAACAGCTGCGGAAGGAGATGGCTACTGAAGATGCTGCATCGGACGTAGAAGTCAAGGCCGCGGAGATAAAGGTGGAGACCGACGCCGAAGATGAAACTACGACAGATGCGACCGTTACTGCGACCGAGCCCGATGATGGCCCCTCCGCTGCACAACCTGAGGCCGAAACTGACGCCGACAAGGAGACCCTGCTTGGCGACGATCTCCCTTCCTCGTCGCGTTTAAGCCGCTCTGGCCTTGCATTCGCGGATGCTCCTACCGAGACAGACGACTTAAACTCTACTGCTTCGATTTCGTCACCCGTGTCCGCCCAGACCCACGGTTCCACCGGCGCCCCTTCGACACGGCCTTCGTCTATTTCAGAAGACGAGGCAGGTATGGAAGAATCGCAAAAGTCTGACGAGCAAGAAGAGTCGCACAATGCGGATTTGGTGGATGAAGAGCAATCAGTTGACAGCACGCCGACCGTGGTGCCTGAGAGCACGACGCCCGTCCCGCCTGCAGAAGCACAGGAGATTGCGCAAGGCCCAGTAATTACCGAGCGAGCGCCGTCGTTCGATGACGCAGATGACAGCAGCAAGAGGGACACCCTAAGGCCATGGGAGAATGACATGCCATCACAACGCCGCTCGAACCGCGAATCTACCATCTACATGCCGTCGAACGAAGGGTACCAGCAAGAGGAAGGACAGTCCAAGAGACGCAACAGGGAGTCTATGCTCATGCCGTCTTCCCAGCATCAAAGTTGGTACGAGACCAAAGGAAAGCGACGTGCGGTCCTCGATCCACTCGAAGTCAGCGCGGACCATTCCGAGACCGAATACCTGTCGGATGATTCTTTCATGGAGGAGCTGCAAAGCGCTACAGTACATCAAGCTAAACCCATGTCGGTATCCAAGTCGCCAATCACCCCGTTCTTCCCCAGGAAATCCTCTGCAACAGACCTACAAACGCCTCCCAGATCAGCATCGTCGAATTACCATGGCATCAGCCGCCTGTCACCTGAGCAGACTGGCCGTAAGATCTCGGGCGGTTGGCCTCCTGCGCCAAAGTCTGACTCCAGCACCGCGCCGAAGAAAATCAACGTTTCCTCCGGCATCTCGCAGAGGATCAAAGCACTTGCAGACAAGACCAACAGGGAATCGGCTTCACAAGTAAGTCTTGCGAGCTCTGCTTTGAGCACTAGAAGCTCCGTCGCCCAGCGTAAATCCTCATTCTTTGCAACAACGCCTGTTGAGATCTCTCCATCTGGGAAATCTACGCCGCGTCTCGAAAGCCCATCGTTTTTGGCTTCATCTGCTTCAACAACGCCTGACAAGAAGAAACAGTCGGCGCCAGTCAAGTCGACAGTATACAACGTACAGCGAGGAGTTGAGAAGCCGGAGTCTGTGCAAGTGACGGCCCGCATCGTCCGCGATGAGCGCACAATGAAGCCGACGCTTGCAATGCCAACGGAGAGCACACCACTGGATCTCCACCAGAGTCCTCTTATCATTGATCACCAAAAGGCAACCATTACGCCCAGAAGCCCTACCCGAGGAAGACCGGAGCCTGCTTCCCCTCCACCTTCGTCTTCACACTCCCGCGAGCCCAGCAATGCACCTTCGCGGGCTTCATCCGAGAGCACGTGGAGAGCCTTCGGGCGCCGCATGAGCGAGTCCAAGTCGGTACACAGCCACGACGGCGAAGACAAGAGGGAAGACAAAAAGGACAAGAAAGACGAAAAGAAGTCGCGTACGAGCAAGATGTTCAAGCGCATGTCTTCTTCCATGTCTGCCATGCCCTGGAAGAACTCGAACAGCAGCTTGGCACTTCCCGAGAACGACATGCGTTCCACCTCTCTGGCGTCTCTACGTGAGCCACCGCCGCCTGTGCATGTTGGTGATCTGAACATCCAGTTCCCAGACACTCTGGTAAGTCTCATCAATGTCAATACCGACCTTACGCTAACCTGATGCAGCTTTGGAAACGACGATGGGTTGAGATTGACGCCTTGGGCAACCTCGTCCTCAGTCCGTCGAAACACAACGAGAAGGGAATTGTCAAGCGATTCCATCTCAGCGACTTCCGCACACCCTACCCACCTGACCAAGATCGCCAAGAACTTCCCAACAGCGTGGTCCTGGATTTCATGGACGGGCGTACCTTGCAGTGCGCATGCGAGACGTACATTGGGCAAGCCCAGGTTCTGCAAAGTAAGTTTCAACCCTGTCCCTGTTGTTGTGTCAGCTGCTAACTTCCGTCCAGTCCTGCGGGAGGCGCACGATGCCTGGATTGCGTACAACCAAGCGCTGTGAACAGTCGCCACGACTTCTACCCAACCCTTCGCCCCAACGGCTCCACTCTCCTTTTCTCTCGGCTTTTCTTTGTGACGACGTACGACTACAGCATCAGGCATCACCTTTTCCTTGTTGTGTTGGATACAAAACGGTTCTAAACTGGGGCTGTATCTCTCTCCTTGCATACTTTCGGCCCTCCACCATTTTCTCATTTTACCTTATTTCCTTTCCATACCCGTTTGAATTGGGGGAGGCCATCTGGCAGGCTTGGAGCTCCTTCTTCTTCCTCTTCTGCCTGTAACACAAGCCTTTTGATTTGTATAATATCTAATGCTGCACTGGCGGCAGCCGAGTTATTGCTGTTTCTGGAGTGCGGACGGATTGCAATGAAGGCGGACTACAAGATATAGAGACCAGTTCCGCAATTGGACTACGTGCCCTTGTCATATTTGCTTCTGCTAGGTGAAGGTCGTTCCCAATGCAGGTGAACCAGAGGGGTGCATTAAATCTCCGGCTCAAAGAAGGATAATGTGGTAGTTTGTGTGGTGGATTTATCCAAAGTGTTGGGCAAGATGGCTCGACTCGGGGCTGGGTGTGAGCAGTGCGCAATCTCAGATGGGGGCATGCCAGCCGGGAGGGGTTAGCGCATGGCCGACGCAGGGATTAAGCGACACCTGGCGTCATACATGCATTCCCATGCATTCGACATGTGCATTTGATGGAGAGCTCGGTATGTTAATGATGCGCAGCAAAAAGGGCCTTGTGCCTGCCATGATGCGGCCAACTCCCCGACGGTCTTCTCCAACCTCCCCCTTAGCTCTGCGCCAGAGGCCACCATAGACAGAAGACGCGACCCGAGGACTCCGCACTGGGCTTCCAAGAGGCTGTTGCGCCGCTTTTCCGCCCCGTCCTCGCAGCGCATCCTGCAGCCTCAAAGTAACGTCTACGAGGGTAACCCCATCTGTTCACAGCAGCCGTCATTGCATTGTCACGAGCCTCGGCGCCGCGTGCCCGCCAGGCACCTCAACCAAAGTAGAGGAGGGTCGCGTAGTGGTGTGCGCCTTGTATAAACACCGTCCGGCACCTCCGCGCTCCTCGACATCATGCCGGCCACTTCCCCAAACCACCCCTTCGCCTCGCCCAACGCCATCCCGCCCCGCACCAGCTCCACGGGCATCCTCAACTTGAACGCGAGCATTGCTAAGCAGCCTTCCAGAACGAGTGTGCTGCGTCCCTTGAGCGAGATTGATTGGCTCGGCCAGAGCAAGAAAAGCAAGACGAGCCATCCGGCGGATCCTTCCAACGCGCCTGCCCAAAACGTGTCTACGCAACAACCTCGGCCGCAGACCATGGCCGCGCAGTTGAAATCGCCGCCCCGCACCGAGCACACCGACATGGACTCGCCCATGGACAACACCCAAGCCGGCGCGAACCTCGAAGCCAGCACAAATTACCCGACGCCGCTGTCACCACCCGCAGAACATGCAAAAGATATTGGCGAGGAGCTCATATACGGAAATGGGGTTGCGTGGACAGAGGGCAAGGAGCGCATATTACTGGGGCCCTACGACTACCTGTATGGACACCCCGGCAAGGATATACGGAGTCAGTGCATCGCAGCCTTCAACCTGTGGTTGAAAGTGCCGCCAGAGAGACTCGAGATTATCACAAAAGTGGTGGGCATGCTGCATACCGCGAGTCTACTGTAAGCACATCCACCCCACATTCCCCTCCTTTGCCTAACACCCTCCAGCGTCGACGATGTAGAAGACTCGTCCATCCTCCGCCGCGGCATCCCGGTCGCCCACTCTATCTTCGGAACCCCGCAAACGATCAACTCGGCCAACTACGTCTACTTCCGCGCGCTATCCCTGCTTCTCTCCATGAACAACCCCAAGCTCATCGAGATCTTCACAGAAGAGCTATTGAACCTGCACCGCGGACAGGGCATGGATCTATACTGGAGGGACAGCCTGACATGTCCGAGCGAAGCAGACTACCTAGAGATGGTAGGGAACAAAACCGGGGGTCTATTCAGACTAGCAATCAAGCTCATGCAAGCCGAGTCGCATACAGACATGTACGTGCCCGACGTCTCCACCCCAAGATTTCACCCCAGCTAACAACGCCCAGTGACTGCACCCCCCTCGTCTCCACAATAGGCCTCCTCTTCCAAATCCTAGACGACCACCTCAACCTCTCCCCCACATCCGGTTACACAACCCTCAAAGGCCTCTGCGAAGACCTTACAGAAGGCAAATTCAGCTTCCCCGTTATCCACGCCATCCGCGCCGATCCAAGCAACCAAATCCTCATCAACATCCTCAAACAGAAGACTACAGACGAGGAAGTGAAGCGGTATGCGCTTAGATACATGGAGAGCAAGGGCAGTTTTGAATATAGTAAGGGTGTTATTGAGGAGCTGAGGGGCAAGACGGAAGAGCATGTTCGTGGGGTGGAGAGGGAATTAGGGGTCGATGGTAAGGAAGGGGCAGATGCTTTGAGGGTCATGTTGGAGAGGTTGGTGCTCAAGTGAGGGAGGTGGATATAATGTCGGCATGTCATGTCATGTCATGCTTTACGAAGCTCATGTCTCATGATGGTTGGTTGGTCTCTGTACGTGTCTTGTCTGTCTATTTGTTGGGAGATGGACGGCTTAATACCCAATGTACTGTGGATTTGCATACATATATACTAATAGACTGTGGTTGTGTTGTAAGGGGTACTAGATGGTTCTGAATGTGTGTAATGAAATACGAAGTCATCTAATTCTCTAGTATCTGATCCTGAATGCGGGTAGCAAATACGAAGTGTTCTATTTCTCTGCCGTCACTCATGCCGGGTTCGTCGTGTCGCAGTAATGAGGACTGACAGCTTCATGTACAGGCGCGTGAAATCATACACGTATTCGACCACCAACTCCGAACAGAACCTATGAAGCCTTGCGCTGCATCCACATCCGTCTCTTCGGTATCGCTTGTACGTCTTATAAACTCGTCAGGTTTGCTCTGCAAACAGCATCTCCGTTCATACTCACTCCTCATCTTCCACCACTTTCTTCACAACCTTAACTCTCTTCACCTGACTAGTCGGCGCCATGACTCTTTGTCGCTGTGCTCCCAGCGACTTCCTCAACGCCGTCTTGAATTCCTCGTACTTCTCCTCGCCCGATTTCGCTGCTTGAGAATGACGATAGTCGTGATGCCCATGTATACACTCCTCGCCCAATTTGATGATGTCGACAACGGCGTCGACTTTGCCTTGCGCCATACCCACAGATTCCATCCAGGGAAATGCGTCGCGGTAAAGTTGGTCGGCGCCGTACTTGGACGCGCGGTACCAGCCAATCTGGGAGTCAATGTGGAAGGCGGTTATGTTGGTGGCCCAGACAAGGACAGCGAAGCAGGAGTGATTGTAGGCCTTCATAGCGCGGCCGTGAAGCCAGCCTAGGATGCGGAGCGTTTTGAGGCTTTTGGAACGGTTGGGACCGAGGTTGATCATGAAGTTGTACAACGCGAAGCTATCAGTGAAGATGAATTCGTTCTTACCATATAGGATATCGACGCCTTCCTGGTGGATCTGCTTATTCACTGCGAGCAGCGACGTGACGAGAGGCGCTGGCTCTTCTTCTTGGTTCTTCCGGACGCTGTTGCTCATACGATGTGCGTCCGACCAGCTGGACCCTTCGACTAGTGAAGCTTGCAGTTTGGCGGATATGCGTTCTACATTGCGGCGCTTGTGCTTGAACACGCCAACGAGGTTGATGCCAGAGGGGTCGGTGAGCGCGTACTCGTAGATGATGTTTCTGATCTCGGCGGGGAGTTTGAGGAAGGGGAAGATCTTGCGCTTGGGAAGCGGGCGGGAACTTGTCGCGACTACACGCTTCTGGAGTAGATTCGTCAGTCTCAGTGCTTGTAGTTCACGCAGAGGTGCATCGAACCTTTGCTTGTGGCGTGTCAAAGTCCGACTCTGAGTCCGAGACGTCCAGCTCATCGAGGTGGTATGTGATCTGAGTCCTCTTGCGCTTGGAGTAACGTCCAGACGCAAAGGTCTCTACTGGAGCGCTGATGTCGGTCATGGCGAATGGCTGGAAAGTCAATTGCGGGTTGAGTAAATCTGAGAAGTGTTGAGATAGATCACAACGCAGATGAGATTGGAACGACACGTTAGAACGCGTGTACGCAACTACTTTAATAGAACTTCGTCATGGAAGTCGCGTGGTCAGGTGTTGTTCGCTTTGGGACTAGTCTAGGCAGCGATGTCGCGATATCAGGGATTAGCAAGGCATCAATTCGACGGCGCAGTCGCTATCGGAGCCGTGAAGGATTATTCGACGAGCATTGACTGGCATCGTCTACGTTCGTGGCAATCGCGATGTGCACAAAGTACAGCAGCGCACAGTTTGAGGAAGGAGAGCTCGAGATGGGTTGCGTCACTCTGGTTCTGCTTAGTCACGTAGCCCACTAACCGAAATGAGAGGCTGTCAGAAAAGTACACCATCCCCGCAACATGACTTCGATACAATCTCTCACGTCTTTCAAGCTCGATCTGCCTCCTAGCTGTATCGAGTTCTTCCCGCTCAATCCGCAGTATGCGATAATCGGCACGTACAACCTCGAAAAGTCGGACGAGAAAGAGTCCGCGGGGAGCGCTCCACACGATGGCAAAGTGAGCGCCAAAAATCAGCAGCGCAATGGCAGTTTGATATTGGTACGCGTTGATGGCGATATAGTGTACGTAGGGTTATTTGCGGATTATCTGTATTTATTGCGCGTGTCTAGGCGGAGTACTAACCTGGAGCAGCCACATCGTCCAGACGCTGTCCACACCATCGGCTATCCTGGACATACATTTCTTGACGCATGTCACTAGCTCCAACTTTGGCGTTGCGACTTCGACAGGTGCGTTCGCGATCTACGAACTCCAGTCGTGGCAGCGCGACCCCAAGATCGCCCACATCAAGACTATCCAATACTTCCCAGAAGATGTACTCATCACTGCCTTCACTTGGCACCCGGAGTCCTTCATGGTCGGTATGACGCTGTCGAACGGACAGGTATGTCTCGGTGTCATAGATACGGAAGACGAGTCCGATGCGCCTACGAAGATGGAAGTCGCATCGCATGATTTGGAAGCCTGGACCCTTGCGTTCTTACCGGATGGCTCAGGACTGCTGTCGGGTGGAGATGACAGCGCGCTTCGTTTCGCGGAGCTGTCTGACGGATCTGGAGGAAGTGTGCCTTGGATGGACGGGAAGATACACGGCGCTGGTGTCACTGCTATTCTCCCAGTACATCTGGACAGCCAAGGTGGTCTGATCATTACTGGCAGTTACGATGATCATATCCGGCTTCTCCACGTACCCATCTCAGGCCGTCGTCAGGTTCTTGCGGAAGCCAATCTCGGTGGTGGCGTATGGCGGTTGAAGCTGCTGGACCGAAACCCCAAGCTACCAGCGCACCACGGCGTAGAGAAATGGAGATCGGAGCCGCCGCCAGAGGCCATTCTACTGCTTGTTAGCTGCATGCATGCTGGCACTAGGATCGTCAGGCTCACCAAGAGCGCTTCCAAAGATTGGCAGATCGAGGTACTGGCCAAGTTCGAGGAGCATGAGAGCATGAACTACGGAAGTGATTCTCAGCCAGATCTCAATAGTCAGGGTCAACGGACGTTCCTATCTACGAGCTTCTATGATCGGCTGTTGTGTCTTTGGAGATACTAGTAGTCTGCTACAGGTAGTCGAACTCAAAGGATAAGTATGCATGTCAGACATCACATGTGAAGCAAGCTGACTATAATTGGCGATGATGTGTTTGTATTTCCAGAATTAACATACAAACAGTAAGAAAGAAACCCCAAAATAGCCACCAAAAAAGAACAATCCTCCCAAACGCCAAACATATGCCAGGAGGTCCTCGCTGTCAAAACTCAGGCCGGAACTCATGGCTTCGCGGGCATGAAGCCGGCATACGGATCGAACGGCATTGGGCTGAGGCCGTTAGCAGCCATGTCGGCGTCAAACGCAGCGGTAGGTAGCGGCTCGTACCATCCAGGAGCCATGTCGCCGGCAAACGTGCTGTTAGTCGGGGGTTCCGACGAAGGGGCAGACTTGTCGCTGCCAGAGAAAAAGTCGGGTCCTCCAAAACTAGGACCAGACGACGGAAGAGAGGAGGGCTCGACTCCCATGTCGTCCTCATACAACGGGATCTCCGCGAGTTGGTCACCGCTCAGACCAACGAAGTCTCCAGCGGGGTTGCTAGACTGCTCTTGAGGGGCGGGGACAGGGGCAGGATGTGCCTGGATACTACCATCCGGGGCCATCGTGAAATACTCTCGAGCCGGATCGAGAGAAGACGACATAACGCCTTCGAAAAACTTTCCGAAGGGATTCTCCGAAAGTCTGACCTCCCTAAGCTGGAGGAATCTCATCTCTTCAGTCAAACCTATATTGACCTCGTTGAAGCCAATATCCATATCCATGACCGGGATGAACTCGAGCTGATTCTGGCCGTATTCAGACCAGTGGTTGTAAGGCCCTACGTTCCCTTTCGGCCAAGCGGGCAGCCAAACGTGGCCAAATGCCAAATCCTGCTTCTCGGCAGGAACTAACTCTTCCGCCCACCCCATGTCGTTGACGAAGACCTTGACCACATCGCCGTTCCCGTTTCGGTGAAACGTAACAATGCCATGACTGGAGGGGGCTTGGCGGGCATGGAATTGGGCTTCGGCCTTCTGAGCGACCCTCTCCATGTCTGCTATGGCAGCCGCCCTGTCCTCGGCGCTTGCGCACTTGTTCTTGTCCCAGTAGCCGGGCATGCTGAATTGCTGTTAGGATTGTTTTGGGTTTATGAGTTATTAGTTGTAGCTCACTTGAAGGTGAAAGGTAAAGTACTTGACTTTACTTTTGTGTTGGTGATGGTGGTGGTGGTTGTAGTGGTTGTAGTAGTGTGTTGGTAGCAGAGGTGGTGATGGTGTTGTATGTCTTGAAGGTAAGTTTGAAGACAGTCTTGATATCTAACTTGGTATGTGTAGAGTCAAGAGTCGGATATCTGCTAAAGAAAAGAAAGAGAAGGGAAGAGAGGAATGTGCTGCGTTTTATAAGAACGAAGGCGCAACAGGACTCCACAATGGTTGTGAGTCTTCAGCAAGACATTATTGATGGGAAAAAAGAGATAGTAGGGAACGACCAACATGTGAGCACCAGAACCATGTCACGGACATCAACACTGGAAGCTGAGTCGCTGCTATGATTATGGGAGGACGGTTATCAATAGCAAACTCAGGCGTAACCTTGGAAGAGCTGAGGGTATTGTCACTACAGGATCATTTTTCACGGCCAACTCCCCCGACACCAATATAGATGCTTATGTTTCCACACATATGGGTGACAGGGACGACTGAAATGTCTTTGTGCGAAAGCGGCCACTGGATCTAAGCGACTGAGTCTTGCTCTTTCGCGGGACTCGAGGCGAATCGACACCATTATTCAGCGATTACAACGCGACAAAGTCACGTATCACGTTCAATTCATTCAAATCGCGCTCGCAGTATGCCCAAAGCTGCATTCAGCGCTCGAAAACCAAGACAATACACGCCACATCAACTCCCCATCATCCGTCACACAGACGCATATGCGAAATTCCAGAAGCCATTCACCCAGATACTGAGTACCGCAAAGCACATGACACGATGCAAGGACCAGGTTACCATGGTTAGACGAGAAGTAGCAATGCCTTCCTCTGCACCATGGATGCGCAGTGAAGCTCTGGAAAGCATAGGGCAGAGTGCACGGGCACAGTTGTGAGAAACCATGGATGCTATGGGTGCGGTGGCAGTGCTATGAGTCTTGCGGAGCTTTTGGCCGGGTAGTGGAAAGGGCGCTACGAGATGAGAAAATATGGCAGGGTCGTCGGCGCGCATATTCGAAATTGCGGGTGTGTGTTTGGTCGTGTGGAAAACCGCTTAAGCTGGAAGAGCAACGAGATGAGTAAGCGGCTTTGGCTAGCTCACAGTGTTGCCTGGCTTTCCTTTGCGCTGGGGGTAGGGAGTGTGCTCTCTGTGGGATATTAGTCGCATCGCTGATGGCAAATGATCAGAGCGCTGTTTAATCATTTACACAATCGGGTCTCTTGTTGCGAGGAGTCGAGTCGATGCCTGACGGAGCCTTGATGAGTCGGCTTGCTACTTCACCATGCTGTTGTGATGTAATAGCCTCGTCTATTCTGCCCGGGCAGTCACGAAGTAAGAAACGCTTCCATCTCATCACACAGAGCCTACAGAGTATAAGGTCGTATGGCCAATGCCGAGTACAATGTTGTATAATTAATGCATGCTATGTCTTTCGCTTTGCTTACAGAACGATCCACCTCTCTAGATACCAATACCAACCACCGACCGCTAACGCCGAAAAATGCACCCACTGTAAAGCCAACCACGCCAAACGCTACGCTAAGATGCAGTAGATCAAAACTAAATGGGTATCGTAACAAATGACACGGAAGAACAGCAACAAGAAACAACACCACACATCTCATCACCTCCTAGCCGGTGGTGACAACAACCCGCTGCTAACCGACTCTCTCTTCAGATCTTCCTTCTCACCCAGCAATGCCTTGACTCTCTCCACTCTTGTCACTGCCTTCTCCAAGCGATCCAGCCTGCCCATCTTCTCCCTGTCCCTGCGCTCCAAAGTCTCGACTCTTTCTTCCAGCTTAGCTCTTGCCCGTCGCTCTTCCGCAACCATTTCGTTGGCCTGACTAAACAATTGTACGCTCAGTTCTTCAATCTCAGAATCTACAGTTTGGACACGTGCTTCCGCCTTGGCACGTAGGGCACGCTCGCGTTCGAGCTCGTTGAGTAGGGTGTAGTCGACCGGTGGTGCGTGGGACGGGTCTTTTGGCGGTGGAGGCGGAGGCATGCCGCCTGTATTCGCCGGCGACGGGAAGCGGCTTGTGATGAAGGAGAAGCGAGAGGCCTTTGTGGAGTTTGCGGTTGTGGGACGTGGGGGATCGGCGTCGACGGAGGGGCGTGAGGATGGGTTGGGGATGTCGGATTGTGAGGTTTGGGTCCGGGGCAGTTTAGGGGCGTTTTGTGTCGCCTGGAGGCTGCGGATCTGGTCTTCGTAGTCGGCGCATCTGTCGACTAGACCATGTTAGTATGTGTGGGCTCGGGTGTGATATGACGTCGGACGCATAATGGGGGCGGTACCAGCTGCTGTAGCCTTCTCCTTCAGGCGCTCCATTTGCGCCTCGAGCTCCTCTATCCTTTGCCTCGCGTCTTGCAGCTCGGCCATGTCTATACTACTGCCACACGACGGGCAGCTCGGGGTATGCGCCTCGTTTGGGGCGTGTTTCGACGGCACTGGAGGCGCTGGCGGCGATGCTTCGATGCTCGCTGCCATGACTGCGCCGGTGTCCTGGGTTTCGGCCTCGTAGTAGTAATGTTTCGTTATCCCCGGTGACAGTCGTGCGTGGTTTGAAGAATAAAGGGAGATTGTGGGGTTTGGGTCGAGGTCGTGATGACGGAAACTTGCTGGGTTTCAGGTGATCGGCACCTGTCTTCGTCATGCAGGGATCACGCGCGTGCGGGCGCTATGTCCATATCTGGACTGACGTGTTCAACTTTATCTGACAGTGTCCACTTCGCGCGGATCACTTTGCTTTTGGTCTCGTTCAAGGGTCTCACGCAATACAGAAGAGGACGCAGCTGTGAATGTTCGGGTCTCGTTACTATCTCAACTAGTGGTAAGCTTCAGTCTAAGCGAATGCGGCCTTGTTCTGTTTGACCCAGTCCTCCAGCTTCGTCGGCTCCCGCTCCGTGTACTTTTTCACGTTCTCCACGGCTTCCTTGTAGATTTTGCCATAATCATCCTTCCCGGCGTCACTCTCCCGCATTCCCCGCGCCAGTGTGTCGAGTATAGGTTTAGGCATGTGCGCCAGCTTCTTGAACCACCTCTCCTCGTCAATCTCCTTGACTTTGATCTCTTTCCCCAATGCTTTGCCAATCACAGCCATACCCTCACGCTGGGTCAGAAGTTCAGGGCCACACAGATAGATCGACTGCCCCGCTTCTTTCTGGAATCGTGGCTCTGCGAGAAGTGTGCCGCACACAGTGCCGATATCTGAGGGAGCGAGGTAATCGAACCGCACGTTGGGGTAGAGGAGCTCGACCTCGCCCTGCTTGATGTCTGCGGTGTACCAGAAAACGTTGCTACTGAAGTATGCGGGTCGGACGGCGGTGTATGAGACGCCAGTCTCTCGCAATGCGCTTTCAGCTGCGGAGTGGAGAGCGCCAATCATATCCGTCTTGTTGGCTTCTGAGTCCAGAGGATCTTCGACCTTGAACGAAGACAAGAGGACAATGTAGGTTACACCGGCCTCCTTGAGCGCTTCGAAACTGCTTCGCATGCCGTCTTCGACCTCGTGTACGACGTATACGAAGGCTGTCTTGGCACCAGAGGTCTTGACCGCGGTCTTGATGGTCTCGGGCTTGGCCAGATCAGCTTGGACGCGGACAAAGCTGTCACTGTTGCCCTCTTCCTGAATGCCTTTTAATGGCTTCTTCGTGTCGCGCATGGCAAGGTACACTTTGGCACCACGCCTGTGTGCCTCAGTGGCAGCAGCGCTGCCTACTGCTCCAGTCGGGCCGAAAACGAGAACGGGAGAAGTCATGGTAAATTGTGGAAGATAGATGGGGTACTCTGACCTGATGTCAATGTATTGAAGGTATTGTTCCGTCTCTGTATGCGATATCGAGTTGCTTTATCTAATGTTCGCCAAAAGAAATCGCTGGTTGCCTCCTCGGCGTCCGCGGCACGCGCTAACGGCCTCTCGGTTTCTCGGTATACCAATGCTGTTCGGAACAAGGCTGCGTTACCACTTATGTCGCTACGTGCATATCTTAACACACACAAGGGCCTGTTTAATCGCTATCCTCGCACCTCCCCGCTGTCCGATGCTGGCCAGAATACGACGGTCGGGACCCTGAGGTCGCCGTGGATGACGTCATGGATGTCAACATCTCCTTCAATCGTGTGTGCTGCACTGCGCGACGTGAAGATCGCCCGCACTACAGCGTAACATCCACCTAGACCTATCTGTCGAATTTCGGTCATAATGTCACTCCTTCGCGAGGTTACTCAAACTATCGCAATACTGCCACGGCCACCGACGCGCATTAGTGACAATTTTCCGATTACTCAACAATGGATACTCTTGAAACGCTACGGATAGACAGCTAAGCCTGGGAGGCTCACTGAAGCTGGCCGTACATGTTGTGCACCCGATCCGGGGCCTGAACGTTGCTCCTATTCTCACTACGTATCTCATGTACGATCGTTCTCGTTATTTCGCGCTTTCCAGGCAGCTCTGAATCGGCCAGTATGCACTTCTCACTATCTCCATCATCGAGATCGTTTCTTTGGAATCGCGAACGACCTCCCGTTGGTCGGCTGCCGACGGTAAGGGGTGGTTCGACGTTATACAGTGGTATCTCGTTGCTACCAGACCCCGTCTTGGATCCCATTCCCAGAAAGGTCGACGAGAGAATGCGGCGGAAGAAGCCATCGAATTGCTTTCGGAGTGCGGGTAGTGACGCGACAAGGATACCGACCGAGAGTTCTGATGCGGACCAGATGGCGAGATTGACACCGTCCCATGTTGGATCGGCTGTCTTCATCAACGCGGAAAGCTCAATGGTCTTTGCAACTGAACAAGCGGTCGCGCTATGGGCTGGCTCAGTTGATATCAATTCAAATTTGGGAGGGTACGTACATCAGGCCAAGACAGAACACGATGCGCAGACCCCATTGAGTACGCCTTGGTAACTGGATGGTGGACAGGTATATGATGGGTGCAACAACGTAAATCACGTCAGTGACACAGTTGGCAACTCCCTGTTTCGTCATCAGCTAGTTACGTGCAACAAAGCAAATCTAGAGGACGGACCTGACTGTACGTGAGGGGCGAGCTGGTCTTTATGAAGCACTTCCCTTCCACGGTTTTGTTCCAATTTGCCTCGAACGGTGTACTGCAAAAGCAGCCCATGATGGGCAAAATCAGATTGAACGTAGTGACCATCAGGATCGAAGCCCACACCACCGTGAGGTACACTCTTGAGAATTTAAGGGCTAGAAGATAGCCACAAATCGAGTACTTTAGCGTTGCGACTGCAATAAGGTTTAGGATCTGCGTGATCCAGAGGTAGTACATGTAGTTCAGCATGTCGTAGGGCATCATGATGCTAGGATCCCGAATATGACGACCCAGACCATGCCGACATGTTTTAAAGCGGATTCCCGACGCTGCGACGTTTAGCATCTGGGCCCAGACTAGTCAGCATAATCTTGCCTTCTTGAAAAAGCTACTGGTCTGACGAACTGCTGCAATGATGAGAAGGTAATCGTGAAGTACAAGCTTTCGCTTAGCCCTGATACTATACACAAGTCGCCATACGAGTACCGCAGTACTCAATACGCACAAGATAGTCGAAGGAATTAAGAAGACGGGCGCGCGGTTTGGCCATTCTTGCTGCTCGGTTGGTGCCATTGCAGATGCCGATATTGCGTAGATGCAGTACGAACCCGAAGGGAAGGAGAAGCGACATCAGTCGGCAACGTGCGCAGGATGGCACTCTTTATTCCAGCCGTTCGCCCACCTGAACCTATTGGGTACCCCAGGATCTCGGGAGGGCCGCTGGAACGCCCCGTTCATCTTATCGGCTGGGGATCTCTTCGGAATAGCTCACGCGAGCATGGCGTTTCATTATCTGCCATTAGTAGCAGGGAACCCCAGCGTCTACTCCGCTCTCTGCTTCCAGCTCCTCCACAGTCTCCAGTCTAGGGCCAAGATGTCGTAAGGACTATACTATTCATGCACTTGTGCGGCATCACTAATTCCCTCGTCATCTATGCAAGAGGCTCAGGCTTGAGGTTGTGATGATGGGCATGAGATCTCTACACACAACAGACATGATGGTACCAGCATGCGCTCCAAGATATAGTAAGCCGCAGCATACTTGAAGTCAGTTGCTTGCTGCTGGCCAGCCATCCAACCATCAGTCTTAATGCTGACTATGCCAACCCAACAATACACGAATCTGGATACGATCGTGTTGGGACGCATGGGTTGGTCTGGCATCTTGCAATCCTTCGAGGCGCACGTTACAAATAAATGTGATAGCTATGCATGCTAAGAGCCACAGAACTGGGTATGAACCGTGCCCGTGTGGCTGTCATCTCTTGGGCTTCGTCACTCCATCGGGTGTAAGCGGAAGCTGGAAGGCTGCAAGATCGGTATGATAGCTCCAATGGCAAGAAAGATCCGTTCGCAAAGGCGGTTCCACGAGGCTGCAGATACGCCTTTTGTGTGCTGTATGGTGCTGTACGTGTTTCTCCTCTTCACGTTTGTAGTAGACCTTGAAGCGTGGTTCCACGCCACCTTGGCATGCTTCGGCCAACCAATACTTGTCATGTGCTCCAGGGTCAGAACACAGCCCTTGTCGTTGGTTGGATGCCTTGACATCGTAGACTTCGCAAGCGTGCAAGCGAGGCTCGGGGCGTCGGCTGGTGAGCCAATTAAGGTCCCGCCGTCCCGTCCCATCCCGCGACGATGCTGACTGCCCAACAGGCGAAAGAGGATTCGTGACTTGCATCAACCAGCCGGTTAAAATTGTGTGCTGACAGCTGTTGGCATTTGATGAGGAAGATGTTAGAGACCCCTCACATATAGAGTTAACACAGGGCGTAACGGGTGAGAGAAGTTCTCGTAGAGCCGGCGGTCCACAACGGTGGACCCTTCCGACTTGGCAGCAGCGGCGCCGCAATATGTGTAAACCACGACCCTGCTCCTGCTACTGGTATATTAGGAGTCGCCACAACGCTGCTTCCAACCTGAACACACCAACGTCACTCGGAAGTCGGCAAAACCGTAAAGATGTTAGAAGAAAATCAATCTCACACGTGAAGAGCCTGAAAAGACAAACGAGAACCTATAGCGGTCAGCAAAGCTTACTAGGATCGACTGCGCTCGAAGGTGTCCTCCAGTATGAAAGAATCAGAGTTAGGCAGGGGAGCGGCGTTGGTGTGGGTGGGGTGACTTCCTGAATGCGGGACAATGCCGAGCCGTCTAGCCAAGATCGCCTAATCTCGGGGCCATGCTGTTTCTATCAATCTTCAATCTTGCGCCATGCAATTGCAAGGACCTGATATGCCGCCTGAATTCAGGACCCGTTGGCCAGATCTACTGCTCACTGCTAACTGTATCGGAGCTTTGTTGCCGACCTTAGCCACAACGATGTACCGACTCGTGTATCCATACAACTCATGCACGCTCAGGTACCGCAAAAATGCTAAGAGCTAATATGGGGCTTTGTGGAGAGTTTAAGAGCTCAAGAGCTCCCCTTCTTCCTCTCCTGGCGTATTCCACCCTCGTCAAAGTCAATCTCTTCTTGTGGTATCGCCTCGAAGCAGCTCGCCAGGATGCTTTACCCTAGGAACTTAGCCGTCGTTGCTTTGCTGGGGTTGTCAGCCGCCCAGGAAACTTACGACTATGTTATTGTTGGAGGGGGTGTGACCGGTCTCGTCGTGGCCAATCGTCTGACCGAGGACAAGAACAGTGAGACTGACCAACCGATCCAGAGTTACACAAAGCTGACATGATGGTCGTACAGAATCTGTACTTGTCATTGAAGCCGGAAGAGCAGACGACAACCCAAACATCCGCATGCCTTATGGCGCCACATATGCTCTCAATACCTCTCTTCTGTGGACAGACTACGTGTGCCAGCCAGAACCATTCCTCGGGAATAAGACATGGAACACTCGTGTCGCGCGGATTCTCGGAGGCGGGTCTCTCGTCAACGGAATGATATATGACCGCGGATCAGCAGCAGACTACGATGCATGGGAGGCGTTGGGCAACAAGGGTTGGGGATGGGAGGGGATCTATCCATTTTTCAAAATGGGAACAGAGTACATCCCAGCTCCACAGGAGACTATTGATCAAGTCGGTATTACTTGGGACCCCGAGGCGTAAGTCAGCGAAATATTGGCCGTGTGAGCAGCTTTTAACGTTGGTAATTTCCAGCTACGGAAAAGGTCCATTGAAGATCGGCGTCACAGACACAGTATACTCCGATATCACTGACTTTTTCGACGCCTTCCAGGGCACCGGTAATGCGCATGCCGCTCGCGATGGAAACAACGGCGAGGCATATGGTACCTCATGGTACCCCAACACCATGAACCCCAGGACTGGCGAAAGAACGCACGCCCGTAACTCGTACTATGATCCGATCATGAGCCGGTCGAACTTGAAGGTCATACTGGAGTGTCTCGCGACTGAAATCGTGTTCGACGGCAATAGAACCCTCACGGCGAAGGGCGTAAAGATCACCGACAAGAAGACTAACTCGACAAAGACCTACTATGCGAAGCAAGAGGTCATCTTAGCTGCGGTAAGTAGAATGTCAAGCTGCCTGCAAAATTGCGCATATACTGACTTGTTGTTTTCGCTTCCAGGGTGCCGTAAACACACCAAAGCTTCTCCAGAACAGCGGCATCGGACCAAAAGCTGCACTCGAGGCTGCTGGCATCACCGTAAAGCTTGAACATGACGGCGTGGGTTCGAATTTCCAGGACCATCCGTATACTGGCGTTGGGTGGAATGTCACTGGTGGCAGCACCCCGAACGGGTTCTCCCTGACCACAGACCCCGCTTACAATGCTTCAGCGTGGGAAGAGTACCGTGCCAACAAGACTGGACCGCTGACCCAGGCTCGTGGCAACAGTCTAGCTATGATGCCGCTCCCGGTATTGGATCCCGAGAACTACGACAGTATTGCGGACCGGGTGCTTGCCCAGGAGGATGACGCGCATTTGCCATCGATCTACAAGAACAATGCGAAGCTGCTCAAGGGTGTCGCAGCACAGCGCAAAGTCCTCGCTGACATATTCCAAAACGAAAAGGCCGCTGTAGTAGAGTACCCCGTCCCATCCTCAGGTGGCTACATGCTTGTCGGCTTAGAGAAGCCGGTTTCCCGTGGAACCATTATGATCAACGCGACCAACCCTCAAGGACCACCACAGATCTTCTACAATGCACTCAGCAACCCCATCGACAAAGCGGTTCTTGCTGCGTGCGTCCGCTATATTCGTAAGGTTTGGGCGGGCCCAGAATTGGCGAAGTACACCCCGGTCGAGACGACGCCGGGAGCCCAATACACGACCGATGATGAGATCATCAACAAGATGATTGAGCAGGGAAGCATTTGGCCGACACTTTCGCATCCTTCTGGCAGCTGTGCTATGTTGCCTGAGGATATGGGTGGTTGTGTGTCCGATGAGCTTCTCTTCTATGGCGTCGAGAAACTATCCATTGTTGATGCTTCCATCCTCCCTCTTATTCCCTCCCAGCACATCCAGTCGACAATGTATGCTGTCGGCGAAAAGGCTGCGAGCATCATCAAGAGCCGTGGCTGATGCGAAGCGCAAGCTGTTCCTTAGATAGTCTGTAGTCTAATAGACGAACGCGCGCATGATCTATGATTGGGCTTACTCGTTTGAGTGTGAGGTTGGCGCTGCGTACTTGTTCCAAGCAAGCAGGAGTGCCTCTATCAGATTATGCACACCGACGGTAATCGACGTGTTTCTTGATAGATTTATTGAGTGTGTTATGATGCAATCAACGGTAATGAGAATTGGGAGGCTGGGTGAGTATAGAGAAGGTTGGCACCCCCAGACGCGTCACGCAACAGACGCTAGTTTAGCGTGAACTATATTCGACTATGACGACGCGATGCGCCTCCTCATAACACGGAGGGAATGATACGTATTTGATTCTTGCTTTATCCGTAATAGCTTGCCCGAGAGCCTTTTCGATGGAATTCTGGAGTTCTCCACAATCCGTATTACCAGTAGACTTCGCCCGTATGTTCGTAATCCGAAGCCGACATGCTACCATCATCGCTGGAGTATTCATCGTTGGAATTCAATGGACTGGCATCTGGCAGCTCAATAAAGGCGCCCAGTCTCTCTGTATATATTGTTACCTCATATCCGAGGTACCCCAGAATAATGTCACCGGCTCTCTTCGTTGGCTCGCGGCTTCTTCGTGGTCATAGGGGCAAAATGACATGACTTTGATGTAACAAGTGGCCTCAACGTCCGTCACCATGTAGGTCTTCGTCGTCGTTTCTCCGCTCTATGTCCCAGTCTTCTTTGGAAGCATTACGTCCTCGACCCATTTCGGCGTTCGGGTGCTCGTGGTAGCGGTGGTTAATGTTGCACGATCTTCTCCATGCTGCGTCTATGCCAGGTATATCGAAGCAAACAAGTTGCGCAGGGCATTAAAGTCAGGCAAAGTGCACAACATTAGGCAATGTAGTGGCTCAGTGCCTGTTCCACTTCTGCTTTCTGCACCGGGGTGTGGCCTCCACTATCGTATATATAAGCAATTCCTACTCTTTTTCTTCGATTATACATTCTTTGATCCACTTCTCCGTTCACACATTTGAGGCCGTGTTGATCCTAACTCATCCATGACGGCTTGGAGTTACGAAGGCCTGAGCCATACCGCGATATCCTCCAGATTGGTATGAATGATCTCTAGCGTGGCCATGTTGAAACTCCAGCGCGACTGGATCATTGGGCTATATATAGATGAAGTGTCCGTATGTGCAACTGCGAAAGCTCGGCTTCGGACACAGTAGTCCATACGTCTGCCATCGAAGACCTCTGGCAATGGTTCCGTGGCTTCTAGCTTTCTCGTTTTCCCATGCTTCCGGAAGGGGGATGATATCGAAGCAGGGGTCTGCTCGTGTATATAAGTAATTCCTGCTCTTTTCTTCGAGATGTACGAAGGGCTGCACAAAATCCAAGCAGATGTGCATGTGAGGCTTTGCGAGGACATCTGCCGCCACACTGTTACAATCGTGATGAAGAAAACTGCCCAAGCCAGAATCAGCCTGAACAAAATTATATATCATTTGATCAGCTTCTCCGTTTACAGATTGAGCATCGCGTTGATGGTAGCATGCGCTCTCTGCACAACAGGCTCGTTAAGATATATATAGATGAAGTGTGCGTACGTGCAATAACCCTTGGAATCCGTAGTGCACGTGCGAAACCTCGACCTCGGACAGAGTACGCCTTGGACTTGCGATTGGAGCGTTCGAGCCATGTCCTTGATGTACGGATACCAGCGTCTCCTAAAGTTGGAACAAGAACATACTTCATGTCTTCTCCTTCTGGTAGATAGGCGATCGATGGTATGTCGCTTTGGTATGACCTGCCGGAATTTGCAGCTTGGGGCGGATGGGCAAGGGAAGTGACCGATAGAAGTTGATGCTACGAGAGAGGTCCCGGTGATATTTTTCATCACCTAGTTACCGGAGTCGTCCTTCTCAGCATGAGCTGTCGTCAGCCACCGCTCGCCTGAACCACGACCAATCCCCAGTCCGAGTGCGAGGCGCACTCTCTTCTTTGTCACTCATTGCCGACAGATTGCCGACAGCTGGGTTGTGGGTCTTTTTGCCGAAAGCGACCAGGAGTCTCATGGCAAAGTAAGCTGGCTTTGATGAGGTTCTTGGATATGCGATCGATCAAGCCATCTTACCAAGGGTCTCTGTGTCCATGCGTAGTGCATATATATAGCGAGGAGTCGACTCGCAAAGACAGCAATCACTTGACCATGAACATCCAGGCGCAGCCAAAGCTCCACATGGCTGCAAAGGTGTAGGTATATATCTACCATCAGTTAGCAACATGAGTTACTCAGAGCCCAATGGAACTTACAACATGTAGCTGCAACCAGGGGACGAGCACGTAAGGTTCTTCTGGTTTTGGTCATAGACGAGATCGTTGCCACCTGTCTCACACGTCCGCCATGGACGGTTTGGGAGCGGAAAGAAAAGGTCGTGGTCATGCGGCAATACAAAATAGACAGTCCACCCAAATGCATATTAGCATTCTGTCTTCCGCTCCACCCCCACCTGGTGAGAAAGTCCTTCAGTGTACTCGCGTCGTCGAGTTGACCAGCCGACCATCTTTTGCGGATGCGGCAATAATTCGGCTCGGCATGATTTGGACAAGCGCGAGTCGAGTTAGCAGTCGTTCTTCATCCTAAGAGTAGTGAGTACGGTGCCAAAGTCTCGTTAGATGAGAGAAGTTTGCATACCAGAGAGAAGGTTCGCAATGCACGAGATCCTACGGTGGAATAACCCCGGTCTGCTATATATAGAAGTACATGTCGATCAAGACCGAGCAGCATACCATGGCTGAGCGAAGGGTGTTACAAGAGATTGCGCTTGTGCGTATATACGAAGAGCAAGATAGAGCCAAGTATATACGAAGGCGGTCGTTCCTGCTGGGCTTGCGGATGAACACCCAAAAGGAACGGATGTCTTGAGTTAGAGAAAGAAAGATCGCATAGAGACGGTTCGGCGGTATTTAACTTCAGCTTGACGACTATGCGGTGTTCTCCGAGGCGGTGATGGTGTTTGTCTCTTTGATCGCGCGTTGAAGTTTGCGCGCGCGGACATGTGCGGTGGCGGCTGCAGCGGCAACCCTCCTCACCATCGAAGCACCTGCCCGCCGAAGGCCAGGAACATTGCATGACCAGCCATCAAACATTTCGCGCTGCGCATCGTCACATTGCACATTTGGAAAACATCTTTGCGAAGACTTATTGCTACTACCGCATCGCGCATTACTCATACGTTTCCGACTGTTGTACAGAATCTTTGGCATTGACGCCTCTCTTCTCAGATCGTGGTATCATCCCACAGTACGCGCCTCGCTATGCATGTAAAAAGGACAAACTTTTGGAAAAAACAACTTCACCGCCCACCCACACCGCCTCATATGCATCATCCACCACCCGTACCGTACGTACATGTTCGATACATGTCGTCATCAATCTCTCCTTCAGCGTCGATATCCTCCTCTCCTTCGGCGTCCACGTCAGCATCCACCATCTCCACGTCCTCACTTGGCTTGTTGATTGCCGCGGGAGTGTGTGTGCCGCTTGCCGCCGGGTCTGCAACGGGCTCTTGCCCAATTTGTGGAGTCGCAGAGCGGGAAGCGGGTCTAGGATCCGATCCGTTCTCCTCTGCATGAGACTTTTCAGAGTTCAGGGCGCGGTGCATGATCCGGTACTGTTGTTTCGGGTTCTTGAGGATCTCGCGACTAGTACTCGTCTCCAGAGGGCCGACATCTTGAACACTCGCAGCGCCTTCTTCGTCAACAGGAGTCGCGTCAGTACCTACGGCCTTGCGCGCCTGTAGTGTCGAGAGCCTCAAGTTGTAATCGACGCGCCATCGCTGCTTCTCGTGGTTCTTCGCCTTGCGCTTGACGTGCTCGCCAAACCAGTCACCTTCCGTGTCGCGCAGATGGTCGCCAAATGCAGCCCAGAAACCTGGCAGGGTAATGTAGCCGCCACCAATCGTCTTCTTGACTGCATTGACGGACTGGAGCCAGTCTAGAACATGTTCAACCTCGAAGAGCTCGGTAGTATGTTCAGGACAATGAGAGTGGATGTCGGTAGCAGTCGCACCAGCCAAGAAAATCAAAGGCTGCAGCACCAAGTTCAAGACCCGGTACCACCACGGCCACGTCACGGATTGGCCGTCGATACTGCTCCAAATGGGTAGTAGCGCGCCAGAATCGTTTTTGCCAGGCAGAGGCGGCTCGGGCAAGGCTGACCAAACTGTGGGTTCGGCATCATTCATGGGTGACGGTGGTGTCGTCAACGGCTGTAGTGGGTTGCCGAACTTATAGCTTGCTGTCGGCACAACGTGGATATCCCAGAACAACCGAGCACGGTCAATCGCGCGGTGGTTATAACCGCCTTCGCAGAAACCCCACTTGGACAGTTTCGGAAGTGCGGCGTCGAAGTCGCTGTTGACTGGTGGTAGCTGAGGTACAAGCTTGACGATACCCTCGTTCACCATAGTCATAATAGCCGCAAAGGCACCGTCGTCTTCGCAACGCGACATGTTGTAGAACCCTGCATCCTCATCGGCAAACGCAGCATCCATCTTTTTCTTAATTGCCACGGCGTTCATGAAGTCGTCGAGCTGGAACAGGCGTGTATACTTCTTCGCTAGAGCTTGCGTAAAGTTGTAGTTACGGCCGGGCAAGAGACGCTTGAGCTTGCGCATCCTGATATGCTGCTTGTCCACGAGATCACCTACGACGTTGACAAGTACAGTCTCGCCGAGATCCTTGAACTTTTCGTGAGCCAAGTTTGCGTTGTAGAGTGCTTGTGGGGTAGCCGTGTTTGCACGGATCCATGAGCGTGCCTTGAGAAGCTTGTCGTCGGAGGACCAGGTTGCCTTTCGCGATCGATGGAGAGGAGCGGTGAAAGACTGTTGCAGTTGAAGCATTGTCCTCGTCCGATCTGCAGTTGCAGCTTTGTACCACAATACCCGATCCATGATCTCGTAGTTTGACTCATCGACATCAAACTGCTGCAGCGCTTG